CTCATTCCGACGATTCGCCGCCAAGACCTCAACCCTCAAAGGGTTATACTCAAAGATTACCAGGGTAACCAAATTCCCGTTGTCAGGTCCCGCCGATTCCAGGTCTCTTTCAAGAACCACACCGTCGCACTGCCACTGACTGTCCTGGACCGTGACCGGCCTAGTCTTTTAGGCCTGCAATGGTTCAGACCGCTTGGAATCACTGTAGTCGGAGTCCACCGTGCCGAGAGCAACGATTGGGAGGAAGCCCTCATGCAAGAATTCCAAGACGTTTTCGCAAACGGACTAGGCAAGTACAAGGGGACCCCGATCTCATTTAACTTGAACCCTGAGGTAGCACCCATCCGCCTTAAGCCGCGTCGGGTGCCGTTCGCCTTGAAACCTAAAATCGATGAACAACTCGATAAGCTAATAGAACAGGGCGTGCTGGAACCCACCGACCACGCCCGGTGGGAAACCCCAATAGTGACGCCTATCAAGCCTGATGGGTCACTGAGAATTTGCGGAGACTACCGGGCCACCCTAAACCACGCACTTCAGCAAAGTGCGTATCCAGTGCCGGTAGTGCAACACCTGCTCCATTCCCTGGGCGGCGGGAAAGTTTTCGCTAAATTAGACCTAGCGCAGGCGTATCAACAATTGCCTGTAGATCCGGCCACCGCGGAGGCGCAAACTATCGTCATGCATAGGGGCGCATTTAAATGCAACCGGCTCCAGTTCGGGGTGAGCGTCGCTCCAGGAATCTTTCAGAGCTTAATGGAAAGGCTGTTACAAGGAATAAGAGGGGTCGTACCATATTTTGACGATGTACTCATCGCCGCCCCTAACAGAGACATTCTAAAAAACGACTCTGAGTGGTCTTACAAAGGTTCCAAAACGCAGGCCTCAAAGTTAAAAAAAATAAATGCCAGTTATGTACCAAAAGGGTGGAGTTTTTGGGATACCTCCTGGACAGTCAAGGAATCCATCCCACTGAGGACAAATTAAAGGCAATTAAGAAGGCCCCCACTCCAAGGAACAAGGCAGATCTACAGGCGTTCCTTGGACTTATCAATTTTTATAACGTCTTTTTACCCAATAAAGCAACGGTAGCTGAACCATTACATAGACTCTTAGACAAAAAAGCAACGTGGGTTTGGGGACAACGTGAACAATACGCTTTCCAACAAGTAAAGAAATTGCTAACTTCTGATTCTGTACTTATGCAGTACAACGAGACTCTGCCGTTAACTATTACTTGTGACGCCTCACCTTTTGGGGTTGGAGCAATCCTGGCCCACGTATTACCGAACGGAGCAGAAGCTCCCATCGTGTTTTTTTCACGAACTTTAGCTAAAGCTGAAAGAAATTATAGTCAGCTGGATAAAGAAGCTTTAGCTATTGTGGCTGCAGTTAAACGATTTCATGAATATGTGTATGGGCGTGCGTTTACAATAATTACTGATCATAAACCACTACTGGGGATTATTGCGGGTAATAAACAAACCCCGTATATATTGTCCCCCAGAATGACCTGCTGGTCTGAATTCTTGGCGACGTACAACTACACCTTGCAACACCGCCCGGGGAAATCAATTCTCCACGCTGATGCATTGAGCAGAACACCACTCCCAGAATCGGTTGAAGATCCAGCCCCAACCATCACAACGCTGCAAATTGAGACTCTACATGCGCCGCCATTGACGGCGAGAGACATTGCCCTCGAGAGAAAACGAGATCCGGTCCTGCAACACATCCTACGCTGGGTTGAACGTGGTTGGCCAACAGAACAACTATCACCTGAATGGGCGCCTTTCAAAGCCCGCCAAACCGAACTGTTTTCCCAAAAGGGCTGCATCTTGTGGGGCGATAGAGTCGTAATCCCGGGCAAACTGCAACGAACTGTTTTAGCGGTATTGCACGACGGACATCCGGGCATCGTGCGGATGAAAGCACTCGCACGGAGCTACGCCTGGTGGCCGGGAATTGACAAAAGAATCGAGGCCTGGGTCGCTAGTTGTCAACGTTGCCAGGACGTCAGCAACGCCCCACCTAAAGCAAGCCCAACCGAATGGGAAACTCCGAGGGGACCATGGTCCCATATTCATATTGACTTTGCGGGGCCTACAAAAGGGCACACTTTCCTTATTACAGTCGACGCCTATTCAAATTGGCTCGAGATCCATCGAATGAACACAACTACAACGGACTCAGTTATCAACAAATTAAACAGGTTATTTGCCACACATGGTTTTCCGGACGTTCTCGTCTCAGATAACGACCCACAGTTCACAGCATTACCATTTGAACAATATCTTGCTGACCGGGGCATCCGCCATGCGCTAACCTCGCCCGCGCAACCTGCGGCGAACGGACGTGCAGAGCGCATGGTACAGTTTGTAAAAAAGACCCTCCACAAAATGGAATTCGGAAACATCGATGAGAAAATCAATCGAGTTTTATTGTTGCAGCACATCACGCCCCACAGCATTACCAACAAAACGCCCGCCGAACTTCTCATGGGGCGGAAACTACGATCGCACCTCGACCGGCTCCACCCCGCATATGCACCCGAAAAGCTTTTCGGCTCCAGCAGCAAATGCCGGGAATTTAAGGTAGGCGATTTAATCTTTGCCAAAAACTTCTCCGGTGACCCGTTATGGATACCCGCAACCATCACCCACCTCACAGGGCCTAGATCTTACCGCCTGCTAACAGACGATGGGAGGGTGTGGAAACGCCACGTAGACCAACTCTGTTCGAGATTACCACCCAGCACCCATGGCTCCCCGGGTTCACCAACTGAGGGGGGAGGAAATATCGAGGAAATTGACTTCGATATGATAGATAACAGGCCAACGGAAACCCTACGGCCCAGCGAAGTACCGGGAATCGAAGCAGGGAGGGAGTTGACTTTCCCATGGGACGTGAACACGGGGGAAACCGAACTGCGAAACCCCAAAGAAACACTGATTGGTGGGGACAACCACAATGGAAGCAACACGGAAATTCCGTGCAGCGAAACAGAGCTTAACAGAGATCATCCAAATGCTCCACCGGAACAGGACTTTAGGCCAAACCCGGTGGAACCACGGAAATCATCCAGACAGACCAAACGGCCTGTCTATCTTGAGGATTTTGTTACAGCTCCCCTCAAACGGAGCCCAAGGGGGAGGGGTGTTGTGAATCAATAAAAGAACTAAGCCCAAATGCAAAGCGGGTTTTGAAAGCCTGCACACCTGATTGGTCCTTAAAAACGAACAAGGATTGGTCCATAGCAAGTTCCTGATTGGCCCATATTAGGACACTTCTTATTGGGTATTAGTTGAACTTGTTGCACATATTATTGGTTAATAAGGTAGCAGCCAACCCTATAAAAGGGTTACTGCTGCCCATAGCCTTGCTCTGTTCTGTTCTATCTACTGTTATTAAAGAGTTGAAGTCACTGGTCAGATGTCTGGTCTCCATTATTCTCCAAACGTAACAACTATCTTAAAGCAAACAGAATATTTGGACAATATAAAAGGAGTTATTTATCTTTCTCTTTGAATTGAGAGTATCTAATTGGTCAAAATATGAATTGGGATTGGCTTTGTGAGTTGGGTAGAACCAACTATTCTGGCTTATGAATCATTTTTCAAAGTTTAGTGACCATTTAATATATTGGTTATTTCCAATAAAGAAATAAAGATTAAGAATCTTCCTAACTCAGATTTTTATATATTTTATTTTTATATCCTGTCTCTAATGGTTTTCCTAAATAAGACCTTATGCAAGTTCATGCCCTGTTAGCTTGAATACTTGTTCAAGTCTTTGTTTTACTTACTGTAAACTAAATATGTGCTTCTAACTCTGAGGGGGGAAAATCATATGTATAAGGTACGTGCAAATAATTAATGAATTAAGGGGCACTTTTCCAATCACAAGAACGCAGTCAGAAAAGAAGAAAATTCTTCTTCCCTTTTCCAATACCTTAAAGCCACAGGACATGAAATTAATTTTGAGGGAACCAAATTAATCTCCAATACTGAACACTTCAACAAGAGAATAATCAGGGAAGCCATCAAAATAGAGAAACACCCCCATAACATGAATAAACAGGATGATACCTCCTGCCTACCAGACATTTGGAAACTAGCCCTTATCAACAAATGAGTCCCAGCTACGAAAACCAACACTGGACCCAAAACAACACATGATGTCACCACCAATCTCCCTCACCAGATTCAAACCCAAACCCACCCCATAGATGAAAGGCAACCACCGTCCAGAAACCATACCATACAAAGAGATTTATTAGTATAACTCAGTCTATAGAGAGAGTGTTTTAGTGGAATTTTTTTATTACGCATGGTATTAGTATTACTGTTGCCATTATTGTTATTTCAACTTGTGTAGTTACCCATCATGGTGAAGGAAGTCTGGGCAACCAAAAACTTATAAAATAACCAAAGAAATTAGCAACTAGGAATAAGCAATATATAAAATGAATATTACTGCCGAATTAAAATTGAATCTAAGAAGCAAAGAACCTCCCACATGCTTGATCTGTTTCTTCTCTCTGTGATTTTTTTTCATTCATCAATGATTTACAACATTGTGGAATGAAAAGCATTCAAGCATTGGCTCTGCATGTAAGTCTTCTGGGTTTCTTCAAAATGGCCTATTAAAGTGGGGGGAAAGTATAAACTCTTCCCTTCTCTGTTCATGTTTTATTTCTAATGTGTTTTTCTGAAAAAACATTAGTTCATGTACATCATCAGTTAGTTTGATTCAATTCTGAAAAGTGGTGAACATTTTCAAGGCTTTGCTTTAATTGTTAATTGAATTGCCTTTAGTTGCCTTAAAGTTGGAAAGTTCCTTAAAGATCACCACTGCAGGGAGCGTGCAAGGAAAACTATGAGATAAATGTACCAAGGAGCTATTTTATCTCAACTAATATGTAAATTGAGGCACAATTTCCCCTTTAAAAGAGACACTTGGTTTAACTTTTAAGGCTACACCCACCAACACAACTTTTGTGCTCTTTCCCCAACCTTCTCCTATCATATTTTCTCCCATCCCTCCATTCATTAGACGGAACAAAAATGTTCTTTTGGCTGAACTTGGTGTTCTTACTCGCATCCCTTGGAGGTAAATGTTTCCCTCTACATATATTTTCCTTCCATCTGTTGTATTGTATTTAGGATATCTCATTGAAATATCTTTCTTTTTAGGTGTCAAATCTCAAGTCCAATTGGTGGAGTCTGGAGGGGACTTGAGGAGATCTGGAGAATCCATTCGTATCTCTTGTCATGGCTCTGGCTTCACCATGAGGAGCTACTGGATGAACTGGGTGAGACAGTATCCAGGAAAAGGACTGGAATGGGTTGCAGGAATGGGTACAACTATAATTCAATATTCAGACAGAGTCAAGGGCCGCTTCACCATCTCCAGGGATGATGCCAAAAGCCAGCTGTATCTGCAGATGAACAATCTGAAACTAGAGGACACGGCTGTCTATTACTGTGCAAGAGACACAGTGAGAGGAAGTGAATCTGAAGCCCGTGAAGAACTTTCATTACCTCTGAGCAATTCTCCAAATTGACTCAATCACTTCCTCATGGTGAAGCCAGAGCCGTGACAAGAGATACGAATAGATTCTCCAAATCTCTCAATTTCTATACTGGAAGAGAGAAGAACCATATGAATCTCTACATTACCGTAGTGACATATTGGAATTAATACATTGGGCTGATTTTGAAAGAAGCTACATTGAATTTTATTAATACTTGGTTGAGAAAGAGGAAAAAAAAGAAATTTCATGGTGGTAGAAAAAAATGCAACATTTAATTATAAGAGTTTGATTTTCCTTCGATGGAAAAATGTGGATTCATTTCTTTCATTGCTTCCTTCTATTATTTTGAAATGCTGTTTTCTCTCATTCTCTCTGTATCACCAACTCTCCTTATTTAATACTCCTTTTTAATTCTTTCTCCATTAATTTGCAACCAGTTTGCTTTGTTTCTGTCACTGTTGCACAATTGCCTCAGTTTCATTCTTTTCGACATGTTCTTCATTTTTCATTCTTCTCCATCAATTTATATTCAAACTGCTTAGATCTGAATTTCTTCCTTTTACATTAATTCTCTATTAATCTATGTTTAATCCCCTAAAGCCAAATAGTGGCAATTTCAACCCTTGTGTCCTAGGAACCTTCTTTGTCCGTATATTTTGGATCATCTTCCTGTCTTCTCCTTGCTATGTCCTATTAACCAGAGTTGCCTTGACTTAACGTGTTCAACACTCACTTTAAGATAAAGGACTCTTTTAAAAAACCCAACCTCTGGAAATTAAAAGGAAAAAAAAAGGAAATAAATTATATGATCTCATCTCATAGGCCTCTAGATTTTGGTAACTGACCAGAGAAAGGAAAATCATCTCCATAATGTCTACATTTCAGAGCAAGAATTTTATTTAATCAATGTATCCCAGCCTATTTTACTTATAAATAAAAATGTTTGTCCTGCCCTAAATAAGGACATCACCACAATCTATTTTTCTGTGTGCAGGGCTGGGTGGGTGTATGCATTCTTATGTGTGTATTGTTGTGGTCCTCTGGTAGTCTGTGGACATGGCTGCAGAGTCGGCAGTGGAGAGGAACATGGGCCAGTCCGGGAGTCTGGGGAAGACTCAGATGAGGGTCCTGCATCCAATACAGAGATGGGGGCCAGGGCCATCTGAGAGTTATGTGCTGACTCCAGAGCCTCCAGAATCTGACAGCAGTGAGGCAGATTCCCAGTGTGTGCATGCACAGAGCTGCCTGAAGGCAAGAACAGTTCAAACAAAATGGGTGACTTGGGAGTAAGGCATGGAGGTGATTGGCATAAAGGACATAAAGGAGGAGCAAAGGGACAGGAACCTTTGCAGGAAGCAACTTTGTTTACTCTGTTCGAATTAAACCTTGAAACCCAGTATGGACTTTGTACTCAGTTTGGCTTTTTACAGTTAATTTGGCACTTTAGTTGTTGGCAGCAATTCAAAGGGGATAAAGAGAGAAAAGTGATCTTGAGAGACTGTTTGGGACTCATTACAAGCTGGGAGTAAACATAATTCCCAGCCATTGAAATAGAAAGAGGGTTGTTTGGACTAAGTGTGTGATTAATTATGGTCTCAAGAAGCCTTGGTCAGAACATGTATAGGATATGTTAAAAAGGAAATCTATATTCTATAATGGAAAGAGTAGTCCTTACTACAAAGATATCTGTAAATGAAGGGATAATCCACAATTGTTCCTTACTTTCTATATGTCCAGATTAGTGAATGCAAGGTGACTCATTCTTCTCCTATCCACTGTGAGAATGTTGATTAAATGCTGATTTTTGCTTTTGACTGTCTATATTGTACAGATCCAATCAGTTGTATTTGTTAAATCATTCTTAATTGCCTATGCATTATCACACGAACACTGGTTTTTTTAAAAAAACACTTATACACACAGAGACACATACTTTTTTTAGATCATTTTTTTTTTTTTGAAAGAAGCCTTCCCCTTCTGTCAGGAATGAAGACATTAAATAATTCTTGGTAGGTGATTATCTATTTTTATTTTTAGATTGGAAGTAAAACAGGAACAAATCCTTCCTTTAATTCCTCCATCTTCAATCCTCTTATGATTTATTTAACTATTTGGAAAATTCATTTGATGTAGGATTTGTTCATCGTTACAAGACATGAGTGGAATATATCATTATTGAAATAAGCAATTCTCCTTAAAATCCTTCATGTTTTCTCAGCTTCTCTTCCCCTCCTAGAACATAAGAATCTCCTGGGAAATATCATGGTGACCACTCTTCCTCATCACTAAGACCAGGATGTAGTATTGTCTCAATTGTAGAATAGAATAGAATGCTTTATTGGCAAAGTGTGATTGGACACACAAGGAATTTATCTTGGTGCAAATGCTCTCAGTATACCTAAAACAAAAGATACATTAATCAAGAGTCAAGAATCATAAGGTACAGCATTTGTATTGGCTATGTTAGAAGAGGTGAGCTATGCAGAAATATTGCCTGATTTGTAATGTTGATTATATCTTCTGTTATTTGCTTCAATGTTCTCTCAAACAGAGACTTTTAGACAATATAAAGGGAATTATTTGTTATTGTCTGTGAATTAGAAGGGTCCATTTGGTCATTATATGATTTGAATTTAAATATTAAAAGTCCCCTCAATGGACTTCTCAAGAGATTATAATCCTCTCTCAGAAGCATCTCTGGGTTTATTACTGATAACATGGTTCAAGATAATCTTTTGATAATATCCAAGGAGTTATTTATCATTTTCTTTGAACTCAGAGAGTCTTTTTGGCAACATTATGAGTTGAATGGACCCAGCTATTCTTGATCACAAATCACTCTTCAAAGCTTAGAGAACATTTCATGTATCAGCTGTTCCCAATAAAGAAATAAATAAAAAACAAAGGCTTAGAAACTTCCAAACTCAAATTTGCTAACCTGTTATATCTGTTTCTTTGTAGTTAAAAAAAAACAAAAACACCTTATGCAAGTATATTCTCTGTTATCTTGAATTGTTTTTCAGAAGTTGAAGTTTTTTCAAGTCTTTGTTACTGTAAACATGTCTTATTAAATCAGAGAAAAAAAATCACATGTGTCTGAAAATAAATCTATAAGTGAATGCATCAAGGGGCAATTTATCCAAAGCAATGTGTAAATTAGGGTATAATTTCCCCTTTAAAGGATCTCTATCAGTGGTGGGATTCAAATTTTTCTACTACCGGTTTTGTGGATATGGCTTGATGGGCGTGGCAGGGGAAGGATACTGTAAAATATCCAGTCAGAGGTGGTATTTGCCACTTCTCTGAACTACACAAAATTTCTACTACTGGTTCTCCAGAACTGGTCGGAACCTGCTGAATACTACCATGATCCTGTGGCTAAACTTGGTGTCCTTACTAGCAGAGGTAATTCTAAAGTTTTCTTCCTATTCAACTTCTTCACATTTTAATTCTTATATATAGGAGACTTCACTGAAATTCCTTTCTTTTTAGGTGTCCGATCTCAGGCCCAGTTGGTGGAATCTGGTGGGGATCTGAGAAGAGCTGGAGAATCCTTCTATGTCTTTTGCCAAGGGTCTGGTTTCAGCTTTGGTGGCTATGATATGAACTGGGTGAGACAGGTTCCTGGGAGAGGACTGAATACTTTATGGTAGCATGGATACGTTATGATGGAGGAGAAACCTACTACTCAGACAAAGTGAAGAGGCACTTCACCACCTCCAGGGACAATGCCAAAAGCCAGCTGTATCTACAAATGTATCTACAAATGATCTTCAGAGCTGAAGGCACAGCTTTCTATTACTGTGCTAGAGACAGAGTGAGAGGAAGTGAATCTGAAGCAAAGCAAAAACTGCCCATTTCACATAAGATATTTTCAGAGTATATTCATGAGCTGGAATAGAGCATGGTAACAAGATCAGCCAATGACTAGGCATAGCAACTAAGTCAGCCGATGAAAACTGTTTGGGAACTGAAACTAGAAGTAACCTAGGTGTGGCTCTATATTAAGCTCTGAGTCTGTCTATTGAAATGAAACTGCTTCTCTCCTGTGCTTGCTTGCTTTCTGAACTAAAATGAAACTGATATCTGTTCTCTGTGCTACTGAAGTTACTTGTAACTGCTTCTGTTTGAGAAATCTACAAATGGTTTGTAAAATCTTCTTATTAAGTTTGTAAAATGTTTAATGAAGCATCAGCTATTTGTGTTTATTTTTCTAGAGCTGAATTCTCGCTGCAAAACTCTGAATAGATATTTGGGGATTTCTTTGAAATCTTAGTATTCTCACCATTTGCTGCATGCCTCCCTTGTTCAGGTTTTACCTGAGGGGTGCTATTCTCACACAGTTGCTTGGATAGCAAGGGCATGGAAATCAACCCACTGTGTACAAATAATATCTCATTTCCAAGGCAGAGCTTTTCCATCTGGTATATTTAAAAATTCACCAAATCAGTCCCAAGAGAATGCCCCTTCTCAAGAGATCACAATTTCCTATTTAAAGCCATGTCTGAGTTCAAAACAGATGTGCCCTGCAAACTGGAGACGTCTGAAATCTTTGCAAAGTAGAAAACATCACTTTCTTCTTGGACTCCTGAGAGATGGTACAATATGAAGTTATGATGTGACTGCTTTAATTGTGACCTTGCAAATTCTGGTCCTTACAAATTGTGATTTATGTCTTACTGCGTATGCAGTAATGTGAGTTTCTTCCATGGAAAACCTGGTTATGAAAACACATGATATCATGATTATTACTACTATTATTACTAACATGACTATTATTGTTTTGTAAAAGTGAATGGACTCAGACAATACACTGTTGACTAAGCTCTTTTGTATAAAAAACAAACTTAGTTGTACCATTTGAACTGATTAACCATGTTTAAGTTATGTCTCTAACATTTCTGTTTAAAAAATTATTAGTCCATGCTTTCTCTTTGTTGTTTAGATCCACTTTCCTTAGTCTTAACCCAAAAGACTTTCTCTAACCTTATGTAAAGCCCTTTGTATGCACAATAAATTTCAAAAGAAAAAGCTGATCCTTGACTATTCTTATGGCATTTCAAAATCACCTTTATAAGATATTCAGTGAAGTTGATTTGAGACTTTGAGACTACTTTGACACTAGACAATTCATCTGTGGGTTTCAAATTGTGCCTTCTGGCTTCTTGTGTGTTGTTCTTTTGCATTCCTTCAAAACAACACAGTCAAGGGAACAGTTATGGGACAAATATTTTGAATTCAGGTGTACCACCTTTTTCATGCTTGGTCTCTAACATAGTTATTTAAATAAATTTCAAGGCATCATTTCTTTCTAGAACCCTATCTTTCTTTACTTAAAGGTAAATGCCCCCCCCCCCAATTTAGCTGTGTCTGACTCTAGGGGGCAGTGTTCATCTCCATATTTTAACTGAGGGAACCAGCATTGTGCAAATATTTGTATGGTCATGTGGCCAGCAGGATTATATGCAAGGTGCACAGAATACTGTTACTTTCCAACTGAAGTGATGTCTATTTATCTACTGAAATTTGCATGCTTTACCACTGCTAGGTAGGCAGAAACTGGTGCAAGTAACGGGAGCTCATCCCATCGAGGAGCACCGGGATCTCAACCCTGGCTATCAGCTTTCCACCTGAGTAAGCCTGCACTTTCTCCTATGTACTCCGAACAAAAAGCATGGTGGACATTTCCTGAGGGCTTCCGGTTTGAAGTCTCTTTGGCGACAGACAGAAATCCGCGATCGTGCACGGATTCAGTCTGGGATTGCCGCTGGAGTGCCCCGAGCCGGCTGGTTTCGGGGCTAAGCCACCCTGTAGAGGTGGTGAAGAGGGAGGAGACCACCAGCAAGGTTGAGGAGAGCCGCATCTCTCCTCCTCAGCTGGCCATTACTCCCTTTCCCAAAGGCAGTTGCAGCGGTAGTCAGAAATGGCCACCTCAAAGAAGAACTTAACTGGAAAAGAATGTGCAGGAGGAAGATAAGAAGTGAAAGTTTTGGCTGACCAGGTTAAATTGTAAAAGCAACAACTAAGGTACCCTGGAATTTAAACTTACAAAAAAAATAACATCACTCCCAAAGAAGAGTCAGAAGCAGCAAAGGAAAGTGAAAAGGGAAAGGTTTGGCTTTTTTTCCTTCTTTCTCCTTCCCTATACTGACAACTAAGAGACTTAAATAAGAAATCAGAAAAATCCACTTTGACCTCAATAGGCAATTAAGCTGAAAATAAAACAAAATGCCAAAGGGATAATAAAGATTTCTGGACACTATTTTTTTTTCATAAGCAGGAAGGGAGAGAAAAAGAATAAGGGCAGGATCTGGAAGAGAGAGGAGACTGCCTGGAATTAAAAAGAATCTACAGTAAAACTTCAACAAGATTTATAAAAGATACATTTTAACTGAAACTTTGTAACTAAACAGTAACCCCAGGAAGAGAAAGTGAAAAAAAAGAGTAAAAAGAAACAGCTTGCGTGTATTTGGATCATTTGGTGATCTTTGGATTCTTGGTTATTAAATTTGAATGACTAAAATTAATCGGGTGGTTGTTTAAAAATTTATACAATGGCACCACTTCTGGATGAATTGAAAATGGAACTTAAAAAGTACAAAGAAGATGCACAAGAAGGGAAGGGTTCTTTTGGCTTCATTTTTCAATTCTTAGAAATGGAGATTTGGAACTATGAGAAATAACAAGAAAAGACTGCAAAACAAGAAGACTGGGACAAATAAGAAGCCATCTTTAATGAACAAGTAATTCTATGTGGGGAAGAAAAAGGAAAGGGGGGAAAGAGAATGGAGAATTTAAGATTTAAAAAACAACCAAAGAAAAGAAAAATAATTCAAAAATAAGTATAATACTGGAAAGCAACAGAAAAGGGGAATACAGAAGAGAGAAATAGAGGTAGAGAGACAAGGGGGTAAAAAGGAGAGGGAGAAGAAGAGAGGGAAGAAGGAAAGGAAAAGAAGTTACAAAGGACCGGAGCAAGATATAGAGAAACAGGACCTATTTAGAGATAATGGGTGAAAATCTAACTGAAAAAGGGATTCTGTAAAGGTACATAAGATTGTATTGTTATATTAGTAATAGAAATAACTTTAGAAAATTGGAAACAATGTATGATTAAAATGAGGGATAAAATAGTTAGTGTAATTTAGTGAAATGTTTGTGAATAAAATAAGTGAAATAAAGTAAATGAGAAAATTGAATTAGGAAGGAACGGGAACATTTTAATTAGTTCATGTTTTATCACATATAAGTGAAGAGGGGGGGGAATTAACTATGGAAAGTTTATAATTGTTCCCATAGAAGTATGATATTTAATTGAAAAGTAATGTTAAAGAAGTTAAGACTTTAATGAATATTAATATTAATGATATAATTGAATTAGAATGGAATATTGTTTTAATTATATACATTTATAATTTTTTTCTTTTTTTTTAAAGAATACAGTGTGTATTTTAAGAATGTACCAAGCAGAATCCAAATGGAAGTTATATATTATATTGAATGTTACAACTTTAGGGTATATATTGAAGCCTAAATAAGAGTTAAATGGATAAACTTAAAAGATATAAAGGCATCATACTCCAATCAGTAACTACAGGAGAAATTTTGTTTAATGGGAAAAGATAATAGATAATTGAAACAGGACAGACAAAAAATATAAATACAATGATTTGAATTGAGATGAGATAAATAAAATTGAGAAGAGAAAATTAAAAGAGGGGAGAAGCTATGCAGAAAATGTAAAATAGTAATAAGATATGGAATAGAATATAAAAATGAGCATGAACCTTAATTTGTGTCTGTATGAAGAAATGTAACCCGGGATTACACTACTTTCCAAAACAATGTTTTATTTGTATTTTTTTTCTCTTTGTGAAAACTCAAATAAAATTTACAAAAAAAAAAAAAAAAAAAGCATGATGGACTGTTCCTAGGATTGAACCGCATTTGAAATCCATGTTTGTCCAAAGATATATTTATAAGCAACTGCCATGAAATAGCCTTTTTATGTTAGTTATTAAAATCCAGGCACAATTTCCTCCACAAATAAGCCCTATGGTCTTCCTTTTCAGTCTACTTTACACACACCAACAGAAAGCCTGGGCACTTTCCATAATCTTTTCTTATCAGTTAGTTCCCTTCAATTCATTAGAGGAGAAAGAATAATTCTCAAGGGTGGAACTTGACATCTTTCCTAGTAATCCTCAGAGATAATTCTTCCTTCTCTGAAGAGTTTCCTTCCATTCATTCTTCTTGTGCACAGGATATTTCAGTCAAGCACCTTTCTTTCTAGGGATCCAGTCTGAGGTCTACTTGTCGGGGTCTGAAAGGCCTGTAAGAAGGCCTGGGTTGTCCCTCCATCTCTCCTGCCTTGATTCTTGATTAGGTTCTGCATTCATTACATGAAATGGCTGACAGAGGCACCTGGAAAAGGGCTTCATAGATGGCATAATTCAAAGTTCCTATGTTATTTACTACATGGATAAATGGAAGGGATGCATCACCATCTCCAAAAACCAATTCTATTAGCAAAGAACAGAGGACATGGCTAATTATTGAAAATCAACACATGTAAAGTCTGTGCAAAGAAACCTATAAGCAAATGCTCTGAGGGGCTCTTTTATCCCAAGCAATATGCAAATTGAGGCACAATTTCCTCTTTAAAGTTCAGGGTTTCCCTTTTCAGGCAACACCCACAAACACAAAGTCTGTACATTTTCCAGAATCCCCTCCTATCCATTATCCTCCATTCATTAAAGGGAGAAACAATGTTCCTGTGGTTAAATCTGGTGTCCTTTCTATTAATGCTCAGAGGTAATTATTTCTTAACCGTTAGGATTCTTTTCCTTTTAATTGTTGAATACAGGAGAGCTGACTGAAACTTCTTTCATTTTAGGTGTCCAATCTGAGGTCCAGTTAGTGGAGTCTGGAGGGGATGTGAGAGGACCTGGGGAGTCCCTCCGTCTCTCCTGCCAAGGTTCTGGATTCACCTTCAGTGATGCCTACATGCACTGGGTGAGACAGGCTCCTGGAAAAGGACCAGAATGGGTGGCCTACATAAACAAAGCTTCCAGTACTATTTACTACTCTGACAAAGTCAAGGGCCGCTTCACCATCTCCAGGGACAATGCCAAAAGCCAGATGTATCTGCAAATGAACAGCCTCAAACCTGAAGACACAGCAATTTATTACTGTGCAAGAGACACAGTGAGAGGAAATGAATCTGAAGCTTGACAAAAAACCTACCATTCATCAGAACAGCTCTGCAAGTCAAATCAGCCTCAGAAGGCTGTATTTTTCAATAAGAGGAACTTTAGAAAGATGTCAGATTGCCAGGAGGAAGGGGCTGATCTTTCTGTCAGCTCTATGGGGGGATGTTTTCCAAATGAAGAGAGGAAACAAAAAAAATTGAAGGAAGAAAATAAAGTTGACTAGTTAGAAAGAGGGAGGGAGAGGGAGAGAGAGAGAGGGAGGGAGGGAGAGAGAGAAACCCCTAAAACATATGGTGAAGTGCTGTCAATAAATCTTTCGAGATACAAAATTGTATTCCTTAGTTAGACCTCTTTCTTCTTTTATTGGATGTGAGATCAGTCTTCAGATCTGATGCCTTCCACCTTTGTGTCCATATATCTGTATTTCTGTTTCTCTCTCTCTCCCCCACCCCCCTCTCCATACCCGGGGGGAGGAAAGAAGAAGGAGGGAGGGAGGGGGAGAGAGGGAGAAGAAGAAAGAAAGAAATTTGAAAGCTTAAATATGTTTAAAATAATACCTTCCTGTATGAGTAGAAAGGTAGTTATGCAATAAAATAAGGATGCCCTAAAACTCCTAATAATTTAAGTGGTGTGAAACCAAGGAAGGGGGCAGAAACTAGAATATAAGGCTCCTCCTCTACTTTTCCCCACTTCCTCTCCCTTCCTCTTTTCTCCTCTGTCCTCCTCTTCTCTCCCCTTCTCTCATCTCTCCTCCTCTCCTCTCTCCTCCTATCCTCTCCCTCTCCTCTTCTCTCTCTCTCTCCCCTCCCCTCTCCCCCTCTTTTCTCTCCTCCCCTCCTTTCCTCTCCTTTCCCCTCTTCTCCACTCCCCTCTCCATCTTTTCTTTCCCCTCCTCTCATCTCCCCTTTCCTCCTCTCCTCTCCTCTCTCAACTCTCCTTTCCTTTCCCTGTCCTACTCTACCATTCCTTCCCCCCTATCCCATATCCCAATAACTCATTGATAATTGATCACCTTTTAGTGAAAACTTTTTGACTCTTTTGTTCTAGGTCCAGTTAGAGAGTTTGCTAGAAGAAAATGTAAAATAATGAAAATGGCTTGAATATTCCAGTTTCACTTTCCCTATTTATAAAGTGAGCTGGCTTCATAGGAAACAACAAAAAACACTACTACACTGAATGAATTGTAGACCTTTAGTACTGTGGCAGAAGGCAGTGAATGAAATTATATGATCATCTATTTAAATGTCTAAACTGCCATACAAATATTGAGGAAATAGCTGGACCTAAGCAACTTCCTCAGATAATTAGGAAGATGTGGCCCCATCTCCTCACATTTGCACTGGGGGGGGCAATGTTGTCACATGAAACCCCATGGCCTATGTGCCCAGTGGGGGTGGGGTAGAGAAGAATACTTCTCATTAGATATTGTCTCATTGTAGGTGTTTTAAGCATGACAATATTTATGTTATTGTTCAGTGAAAAGTTCACATGAAAAAGTTCACATCTCAGAAGGATATAATCCTCAGACACAGACAGATCAATGAGAGAAAGAGGGAGAGGGAGATATTTCAACAGAGAAACTATAGAATCTGGCAAGGTACTTCATGTTTTTCTATACATGGTAACAACATGAAGGGACAATTGGTCATGTGAAGCAGGCATATAAAACAGCTCAAAATTCATGGATACAAATACACACAGTAATCCAGAAATTTTTAAAAGCTAACATACATTTGAAACCAGAGAGGTATTCTTTTGGGGACAAATGGACAGGAAATTAGAAGAAAAGTCATGGGATTTTGTTTTTATTATTTGCTTGCTTGTTGAATTCATCTGCTGCTCCTCTCAATGATAAGGCAACCATGAACAACTGTCAAACAATAAAATTAGTTTGATTGTCATGGCATCTTGCACAATGAAATCAAACATCATCTTCAGTGCACATCATGACCATAAAAATAAACACAAACAGACATTCATCACATGCCACACATTGAATTGAAAAACCCTGACACTGCACCAACACTGCACTATACAGTAGAATTCAACAGAACTACAGCCCTGGGATAGATGCTGCTTTTCAGCCTATGAAAATGATAGACAAAAAGACAAATTTTGCTTAAATTACAATTGGAACTATAAAATTATATAACAGCTACAGGCGTCTCATAGGAATGAGATTTTCTTCTTACCCTGTCAATCACTTCCAGCCGTGAACAATCCTTTCATGTCCCCAAGCTATCTGGCAAAATCAGGCTTTGATATCCTTCTCCAAGGCCAAAAGAATGGAGGCAATTCTTACTTCTAGGAGCAGAATGTGCCACAAACTGGGGCCACAGAAGAAAAGGCTCTTCTCCACGACCCCTTTAACTGAAATTCCTTGGCTGACAGGGCTGGCCACAGGCTCCTTGACTGGAGCTAGTGGGGCAAGGTAGTCCCATTGGGGCAAGATGGTTCCACAGAGTCATTTTATCTATGAGAACTTCAGTGAGTGTATTATATGCTCTAAAATGGAAAGACTGGAAACCACCCACAATGGGGGAATGGCTGGAAAGGAGGAAGGAATTTGGGAAGATGACTAAACCAGCTTTTTTTTTTTATCAGAAAGAAAATCTATCTTCAGGATTGAATGGAAATCATATGAAATTTGTATGAAATGCAAAAAATAAATTTCTCGTGATTTGTGGTTTTGATGATTAGAAAAAATAGGATAATAGGGAAAAATGAGCTTTTTTGGCAAGCATGAAGTAAAAGTTAATAAAGTAATGTACTTGGAATTGGAAGCTTCTTTTTCCCATTTCTTTTCATTTTCTCTTTCTGAATTTTTATCCTTTCCATCCTTTTTTCTTTTCCTTTCCTTTCATCTCATTTTTTATTACTGTGTTAATTTCTACTGTTTCCATAACATTTCTAATAAACTACACACATACTATATGTCTCTGTGTGTCTGTTTTAAATATAAATATACTTGAGTTACTGTACTTCTGCTTTGCCAAATGTAGAGCAACCTAAATTTGTTGAAGAATAAAAATAGGTTGTTTTTTTTTAGTATAAACTCAGCCTACAGAGAGATTGTGTATTTAGTGCACACTTAGTGCATATTCATCATTTGTTAGCTTGAATCAATTCTGAAACATTGCAAACATTTCCAAGGCTTTGCTTTAATTGTTCTAATTAAAGGATTCCTACAGTTTTCTCAAGACTGGAAAGTTACTTAAAGATCACCATTGCAGGCAGCATGCAAGGAAAACTATGACATAAATGCACTGAGGAGCTCTTTTATCTCAACCAATATGTAAATTGAAGCACAATTTCCCCTTTAAATGAGTCAGTTGGTCTTACTTTCAAGGCTACACCTGCCAACAGAAATTTTGAGCACTTTCCCAAATCATTTCCTAATCGATTCCTCTCCATTCATTAGAGAAAGCCAAAATAACCCCATGGCTGAAGTTGGTGTTCTTACTGGCATCCCTCTATATAGTTGGTGTTCTTACTTGTTTCCCTCTATATAGAATTTTCTTCCATTTGCTTTTCTTGTATACGGGAGATCTCACTGAAACTCTTTTCTTTTTAGGAGTCCAATCTCAAGTACAGTTGGTGGAGTCTGGAGGGGATGTTAGAAGACCTGGGGAGTCCGTCCGTCTCTCCTGCCAAGCCTCTGGATTCACTTTCAGCAGCTATGGCATGCACTGGGTGAGACAGGCTCCTGGGAAAGGACTGGAATGGGTGGCATATGTATGGTCTTCAATTCTTGACTACTCTGACAAAGTGGAGGGACGCTTCACCATCTCCAAGGATGATGCCAAAAGCCAGCTGTATCTGCAAATGAACAACCTCAAACCAGGAGACACAGCTGTCTATTACTGTGCAAGAGACACAGTGAGATGAATGAATCTGAATCCAGTCAATAACTTTATCTCTGAGCAGCTCTTAAATTAAGAAAAAGCATGCAGATGAAGAATCATCTACTTTTTAAAGAATCATATGATTTTCAAAGATGTCTGTTTGGAATGTAGATATTAAATAATTCTTGGTGGGTGGTTATCTACTTTTATTTTGAGATTGGAAGAAAAAAGGAACAAATCCTTGCTTTACTTCTTCTGTTTTAAATCCTCTTATGATTTATATAACTGCTAAAAAAATAATTTTTGCTTGTCATCACAAGATGTGTGTGCAGTAAACCATTATAGAAAAGATAAATTCTTCTTAAAATTCCTTATGTGTTTTCAACTTCTCTTTCCCTCCTGGAACATTCAAATATCTTGGGGATAATGGTGTTACCCTTTCTTACTCAGCACTTACACCAGAGAGTAGCAATATCACCCACAATAATGTTGGCCATCTTGGAAGAGGTCAGCTGTGCAGAAATGTAGTTAATATATAGAACAGTGGTTCTTAAGATTTCCCACACCCCATAGAATAAAAAAAAACCTTTTAATAAATAATTTTAGTAACCCTGGATCAAAACTGCCAGATTGCGAGGAGGAAGGAGCTGATCTTTCTATCAGCTCTGTGGGGATTGTTTTCCAACTGAAGGGAGGAAACCAGAAAGTGTGAACAAAGAAAATAGATTTGAGTAGTTATAAAGAGAAGGGGGGGGGGGAAACCTCCTAAAAGACAAAAATGCCAAAGTGCTCTCAAGAAATTTTTAGAAATACAAAATTGTATTACTTAGTAATAATTCTTATTGGATCTGTCATGCACCTTTGTGTGCATCTCTCTCTCTCTCTCTCTCTCTCTCCCTCTCTCCCTCTCTCCCTCTCCCTCCCCTCCCCACTCTATCTTGTTTGGACTTGAATACTATGGTTTACCATTCTTATATTACTTACTACTCAGATATATGGAAGGTATGCTCACCATCTTCCAAAACCAACTCTATTAGTAAAGGAACAACTTTAAAACAGAGGACAGAGCTTATTATTTAACATTATTTGAAGATCATATGTGTAAAGTTTGTGCAAAGAAAACTATGAGCAAGTACCCTGAGGGACTCTTTTAATCCCAAGCAATATGCAAATTGAG